GGGCGAGACAGAGCGGGCGAGACAGAGCGGGCGAGACAGAGCGGGCGCAAAATAAAAAGGAAAGTACATATTACATGTGTGGTCTGATAAATTTCCCCAGAAACTCTTGTCCCTGTTTTGACATTTGATTCAATCTCACTGAAGAGAGAGGCATTTGGTAAATACAAGCGTATCAGGACAAACTAACGGAGGGCTGTGGAGGCTGGGGATGGGGAGGGTCGCAGGGATTTTAAAATAAACCTTTTCAAAGTAGGTTTCGAGAAGGGCAGTGGGCGGAGAGCTCATACACACTGATGGATAAATGCAGAAATGACTCAAAACTGTACAAAAGGTTAACAATTCTGCGCGGGACTCATGACCAGACAAGTCCCTCACTCAACAGCCTGATTGCGTCGTGGATGATGTTACTGGACCAAGTATTTGGGGTCGAGGGGTAGTGTGGGGATATGTCAAACCCCATCTTTGCGGCCAGTGGAGTTTAAATTCAATTCATAAAAATGTGGAATCAAAAGCCAGTGTCGCTAACGGTGACTGTAGTCAGAGGGAAATCTGCAGGATAAATTAAGATAATGTTGAGTTTATCAGGCTGCTTTCAGCCAGTTCATTTTCACACCTATTCAGCAGAGAGCATTAGCCTCACCAGGTCCAGGCACCTACGCGTGACTTCGGATCCTCGCACAGCAACACCCGCTGAGGTGGCCCAAACAAGGCACTGAGCTCAAGGGCGACTAAGGACAGACAACAGATGCTGGACTGGCCAGAGGGGCCTCCCGCATTCCCACGCAGTGACAAAGGGACTGAAAATGCTGATCGGCTCAACGGCATTCCCAGTGCAGCAGGGTTCCAGCGCCGTTGCATTTGTCAGACGAGTCTCGCGGGAGATCACCCTGCTGGCTTTCTTCAACGCCTCCCTTACCTGGGCCCTAACCTTTGTAGATTGTGAGGGTGGAAGGATCCCCATTACTTTGTTCAAACTGTCCTTGCTACTGAAACCGGACTGGCTGACGTCTGTAAGCAAGCTGCTGGGAGGTGTGGGCGGACGTGGCAACACCGGTTTCGGCACTGGGGGGAGGCAGGGGAAAGGAAATAAAAGGAAGAGAGAGAGAGAGAGGCTTCAGTATAACAGTCTGCCCTGTGACACAACAGTACCACTCCCCAGGTTAAGAAGCAAATGGTGTTACCATCACTGAATCCCTCATGATCAACATCCTGGGGGTTACCATTGACTAGAATATGAATTGGACCCAGCCCGATATCAATATTGTGTCTACAAGAGCAGATCAGAGGCTGAGAATCCTGCAGTGAGTAACGCCCCTCCTGACTCTCCCCCCAAAGCCTGTCCCACCATCAACAAGGGCACAAGTCAAGAGGGTGATGGAATACCCCCCACTTGCCCTGGATGGGGGCAGCTCCAACAACACTCGAGAAGCTCAACACCATTCAGGACAGAGCAACCCCATCTGCTCAATCGACACGCTAACCCCCACCTTCAACACTTGCTCCCTCCGTCCCACCACCTCCCCCCACCACTCGATCGACATACTAACCCGGACCTTCAACACTCGCTCCCTCCCTCCCCGACTCGAACAACACACTAACCCCATTTTCAACACTCCCTCCCTCCCACCACAATCCCCGCCCCCGCCACCAAATCGACATACTGTCTACTCACGGGGCGTGTTGATGGTCACTGTCTCTGGTTTGTTCGAGTTACAATGCTGGCTCTTCCCAGGGTTTGACCGGTTGCTCGGTGCAGGGCTAGGCTCTGGTAATGGCTCTGTGGGCGGTCTCTGGGTGTACGGGTCCATCCTGGGGGGCGCCACGCTGGGGGGCAGCGCTCTCACAGTCGGCCTCCCTACGGCACACAGAAGCACAGGGCCAATCAGGCTAATAGCATGACCTCAAGCCACGGATAGGCTGCACAATCACAACACCAAGCCCGTTCCTGGAACAGGACGGAACAAAGTGCGATCCCACCCACCCCGAGCCATGGATGCAACTGCAATTAAGTGACGGTACAGGAAGAGGCCATTCAGCCCATCGTTTCTAAATAAACTTGAAACTCACCGTCAAGCGCAAGCCCGTCTCCTGATATGGATTCCAATTAATTTACCCAGCACCCAGTGTTGACCATGCGGCCTAGAATGACCAAGCCTATTGCACCCCTACCCCCCCCCCCCCCCCCTCCACCCAAATCCACAGACATACAGCTTAGTCAAGGAGGTCAGATTTAACAAGATGAAGGGCTGGCATGAACGTGGAAGCATGGGGGCCAGAGGCTGTATTTTGAGCTGGTCAACCAGATCAAACCCGTCAACCGCACCGAACAACTTCGCGACGGACGCTTCGCAAACGCGGCTTCGAGTCCCGAGGACACAGACAAAACTGCGGACTCAGGTTAGTTTCAGCCAAACCTTCACCATCACTGGGTCAAAATCCTGAAACCTCGCCCCCTGCCCCCCCCACCCAATAAATGGCACCCACCTCACACAAGATGCTGCTACCACCTTGAACTGCTGCACCACTAGAATCAGACTAACTGGGCACTGACACTCCCTCCCCTGCAAGTTATCACTGCGAGCAAAACGGTACCAAGAGGTCAGCAAACACCGAACGCACGCCCACCAAGTTAAAAAAAAAAGTTAAAACACCAGCATTCCAGGTTGAAACCTCTACAATGGAGGCCGAGCGAGAGTGAGGGGGGCAGCAAAAGGGGAAGCTGGGGTTGGGGAGTGTAAACAAGGAAGCAAAGGTAGGGGGCTCCTCTACGTTACAGTGGCGAACCCACAGCCTTCGCTGCCGCTCTGGATTGTAATCCAGCCCCCAGTGAAGAGGGCACAGGCTATGCCGTGACACATTTCCCACCTCCCCACCCCTCAGACGAACAGCAGAGCAGGAGCTTTGAGGGGGGTGTTGACAGCAGGAGGAAGCTGAGCAAGTCAAAACCAGAATCAGATCAGAGTGTGGTGGGGAGGGAGACGTCCTGGAGTCCAGGATGACTGTGTAGTTATCCAGCCCAGGCAGGAAGTGAAGTGCATCGAGACAAGCAGATCTTTGTCGTTTCGATTCCGCGTTTGGGACGGACAATTGCTTTGGAGTCCTCGTCTTCCACCCCCCTCCAACTCCCCACACCCCCAGCCCCAAACGGGCACTTCCTGAAGGCTGCCGCACAGGCCTGGAGCTGGCAACTGTACTGTGCAAACGAGGCCTTTTGGCCCATCAACGCTGTACCTTACCACCACTGACCATACCAGTCCCACTTTCCCCACACTAGGCCACAGCCTGGAACATTATGACACTTCATTGGCTCGTCGAAGGACTTTTTTTTAAAAAAAGGGTAGTGAGGTTTCCGGTCTCAACTCCCCTCCCAGGCAGCAAATTCCAGGGCCGCCCCCACCCCCCGCCCGAGTGAAATACTTCCTCCGGCCTTTCACTTTCAGTGCCCTTGTTAATGCTCCCTCGACTAAAGGGAGCAGCTGCTTTCTACCCAACTTGTCCATGCCCCTTGCACACCTCCATCAAATCTCCGACTCTCCCTGCCTTGCTCCACAGGAAACAACCTGAGCTTATCCAACCTCTCTCCCATCGCTGAAAAAAGCTCCGTCCCAGCCCAGGGCAACATCCTGGTGAAGCTCCTCTGAACCACCTCCAGTGCAATCACATCCTTCCTACAGCGTGGTGACTGGAACGATACTCACTACCCTAACCAAAGCCCTGTTCAGCTCCAGTGTGACCTCCCTGCTTTTACAAACTCCAGTTATCCCCCCCCCTTGCTGACTTGACTGTTACTCTGCCCACCAATGCTGCCAGACTTGCACTAACACTTGCTGTCTGAACCTCATCCGTAGCTGGGCATCTTTAAAAGGGACAGGCTGGATGTTGATTTGAAGAATAATTATTACAGTCACCCTGGTGGCGGAAAATATCGACAATCCACCAGTCTCCACTCGTTCCAGTAACTGAGCCATACAGCACGGAAACAGACCCTTCAGTCCAACCAGTCCGCGCCAAACTAAACGCATCCCACCTGCCTGCTCCTGGTCCCTATCCTTCCAAACCTTTCCCATTCATGTGCTTATCCATAAACATAACTGTACCCACATCCACCACTTCCTCACGAAGTTCGTTCCACACACAACCCTCGTCCTTTTTAAAATCTCTCTCCTCTCACCTTAAAAAATTGCTCCCCAAGTCTTGAAATCCCCTGCCATTCACTTTATCTACACCCCTCATTATCTTAGAAACCTCTATAAGGTCACCTCCCAACCTCCCATGCTCCAAATACACACGTGTTGTAGCAATGCCCTCTTCCCAGGAAGGAACGAGAGCTGCCTCTTAAGAGTGGGGGGGCCTTGGAGAAACCCAAGGAGAAGTAAAATTAAACGGAGGCCTGGCTGCCGCAAGCAAACACACTCTCGCTCTCTCTCACACACACACAGACAGAAGTCTCTGCTGGAGCTCCAGCAACCACAGGGGAAGCCCCACACAAGTCCTCGATAAAACAGATGTCTTTCTAAAGATTCTCCAGAGGGTGGAGGAAAACCCAAAATCCAATTGCAGAATGACTGTCACAGCAGCAGTGAGCTCGGTGTGTGCGCGTGCGTGTGGTGGGGGGAGGGGGGAATGCCTGGTGTGGAACTCCTTCCAATCCACCACCTGTCTCCGTCATTTCGCAAAAGACACAGGCCACAGGTGCCAACACCAGGCTCCCCCATCTGCTCCAGTTCTAACAGGGATTAGTCCAGGTCAGGAGGGGTCTAGGACAGTTCAGATCAACTCCTGACTGCCCTCTGAAGTGGCCCTTTCAAAAGCTGCACAGCTCAAGGGATAATTAGGGAGAGGCAACAAATCCATCAGTCTCCACTTTCCCAGTGATGCCCACATCCCCAATGGAGAGGGTAAAAGAAAAGACCATTACAAGTAGTGAAGGGACTGGTGACAAATATTTTCTGTATTAACAGGAGGGTGCACAGTTCACCAACTGTGAGCGAAAGAAACTGACAGGGATTTTACATTCCTCCGAAACACACAGGTAGGCACGGTCACAGTCACAGATCCACCGGAACCGAGCGAAGGCTTGGATTCGTACTGTCCTCTGCAAGCCTTACATAGCCCACAGGCACTGACCGAGGGATTCGCAGGCGGGACAACTGGTTACAAAAGAGCTTGGAAAAGTCTTGCTCTGTCCCTGGTCCACGCTGAGGGAGGACGAGGCAAGTTCGCCCCCTCGAACCTGCTCCACCGTTCAACCAGATCGTTTATCCCAACTCCGCACTCCTTGAAATCTCTCGATCTCTGACTGGAACGTGCTCAATAACAGAGTCACTGGGGCAGAGGGTTCCCATCCCAGTCTAACACAGCTGACCTCTTATTCAGATTCTGTCCCCCACCACTCCCACCTCCCCTGGCTCCAGATTATATCCACTTCAAGCCAGGTAAAGATCCTTGTGAATCTACCCCGGCAGGCCCTGTGAGAATCTTGCACTCTTCAATGAGATTGCCTCTCACAGTTTTCTAACTTCTATAGAGAACCGAAGCGCAGTCTCTCTCATCACTGCTGTAGCACAGTCTGGCCATTCCAGTCTTCAGTCTGGTGACATTTATTACATGTGATAGAGGGAATGCAAACCCCCCTCCTTACGTAAGGGGAAGCGATGGCCTAGCGGTATTATCGCTGGACCGTTAATCCAGAGACCCAGACAGCATTCCGAGTTCAAATCCCCCCACAGCAGATGGTGGAACTGGGATTCAATAAACGCCCGGAATTAAGAGTCTAATTTGTCAATTGTCAGGGGAAAATCCCATCTGGTTCACTAATGTCCTTTAGGGAAGGAAACTGCCATCCTTACCTGGTCTGGTCTACATGTGACTCCAGACCCACAGCAATGTGGTTGACTCTGAACTGCCCTCTAGGCAATTAGGAACACAGAACATAGAACAGTACAGCACAAAATAGGCCCTTTGGCCCACGATGTTGCGCCAAACTTTTACCCTAATCCTAAGGGATATCTAACCTCCACCCCTACCTTATACTATCATCCATATGCCTATCTAATAGCCGCTCAAATGCCCCAACTACCCTCTCCAGCAATGCATTCCACACCCTGACCACTCTGAGTAAAGACCCTACCTCTGACGTCTCCCCTAGATCTACCTCCACTCACTTTAAAACTATGCCCCCTTGGAATAGCTACCTCCACCCTAGGAAAAATTAGGGATGGGCAATAAAAGCTGCCTGGTCAGTGACGTCCTCATCCCATGAATGAATAAAGAAAACAAAATGGAGCCAAAACAGCAGCCGTTACTCCAGGTGCGGTCACACCAAGGCTCTACACAACTGCAGCAAGACCCACACTCCAGTTCTATTGTGGTAACAAGGGGGCATAGTTTTAAAGTGAGTGGAGGTAGATCTAGGGGAGACGTCAGAGGTAGGGTCTTTACTCAGTGGTCAGGGCGTGGAATGCATTGCTGGAGAGGGTAGTTGGGGCATTTGAGCGGCTATTAGATAGGCATATGGATGATAGTATAAGGTAGGGGTGGAGGTTAGATATCCCTTAGGATTAGGGTGCAATCCTTAGATTCTCTCTCGGTGGAGCTCTCGCGGCCTGACACTGGGGAAGCGTGAATGTTACTTGCCACTTAACAGTCCAGCTTTACAAAGGAAACTTGAGAGAGCTCTTGTGGTGTGGTGGTATTGACCCTACCTCCGGGCCAGGAGTTTGCTTCCCACCTGCGCCATTACATGTCTGAGCAGGCTGGTGGAAAATATCTACAAAAAAAGGAGTCTCGTCACACAGACACGATTGGGGCACATGATTAGCTCCAGCAGATACAAGATGTCTGGGAATATCTGTCTGAGTCAGAAATCTCCAGCTGGCCCGAATCGCTGATGTCACGTTGGACGGCAGAGACTTGCTCAGCGTGGAGACGAAACCAGGCGGCTGACCTGAAAGGAAGCCTCAGACTGTTTGACAAGTTAGTCATCTCCTGGCAGCTCGCCAGAACTGAGAGAAAGGGATCGTGAGCTCCCAATGCCTCGCAAACCTGCCTCGCCACAATATAATCCCCAAAGCCACGAACCGACTGGGGAGCATCACAACGAGATGGGGCCATGCCCCTGGACAGCAATGCGTTTCCGAGGCGACACGGCAAACGCCAGTTTTGTGCGTTGGGCTTTTAAGGGAGGGAGAGTGCGTGGCGCAGTGTAATGTCCCATCATTCAAGTCCCACCCCACTGCAGGGCCTACTCTCCATCAACACAGCCAAACAGGCTGGCTAATGATTTCCGAGACATGTGGCTGTTGGTGAGTGTAGAAGAGTTCGACGCAGATACAGGTCCCCTCATGCTGGTGACCTGTACCAGGAAAACATTCACAGCAGAAACAAACAGCCATGTGTTTGGGCCATGTGTTTGGATGTTCCTCACGAGCACAGGAAAAGTCTTTAGTTGCGAAGAGCAGTGACTGAGTTTAACTTGTATGAACAGATAAAACAGAAGGCAATGAACCACTTTAATAAAATGGCATTGAGGAGGAAGATCAGCTGTGATCTACTCCAATGGTAGACCACAGTCAAGGGGCCGAAAGGCCTCCTCCTGCTCCAATGTTGCCCTTGCAAAGGCAGAAGAACAAGAATGCAGCTAACTGCAGGCAAATAATCAGTGCACAGAGAGCCATCCCCCCGCTGAACAAATAGGGGGACAGCGCACAGAGAGCCGTATCCCACTAAATAAGCCCTGATGAGTAAGTAACAGCTGAGGGGTAATGGGGAACATACCTGACAGGATGATGTCCCTGGCTCGCCAGAGGTTTAGACTGGTGAGAACATGCAGCAGCTGTCCCACGGTCCCATTACGGTTCATCCAGTACCACATGACGTTCTGTGTCCGGCCGTGTTCCCCTCGGCTCTCCAGCAATCGAAGTTCAGTCACGTCACTGACAAGGGAGGAAGCTGGGGTGGGGTATGCAGTATGGGGGAAAACAGAAAACAAAAAACAAATCAATCCCTTTTTACAACCTAACTGTACAGCTCAGTGACCAATTTTCAGGCCCCCTCATCTTGCTCAGAGACTGTGCAGGGCTTGCTGCAAGGGAAGGACCAAACATAACACCCCACCAGCCCCCAAAAACAGCTCTAAATGACTCTCTGGTCACTATCGCATCGCAGCATCAGGAAGCGTTGCCACAGGCTGTTCAATTGCTCAATGAATTCCCACGTTACACCCCGATTACTTAATGTGGACAGCTGTTCTAAACTACTTAATGCAAACAAAAAGTGACAGCGTTAATGATCGATCCGTAAGCTGCTAACTGAACAGCGATTATTACACTGCTGTAAAACACTCCTGGGGCTGCAGGCAGGGGCTGGGTCAAAAGCAGATTCTAATTTACCCCTTCTCCACTTTGTGTGCTCACTAGCCAGTGTGCTGCAGGACAGTTTCTCACAGTGGGGAAGAGAGTGCAGTAGTAGGGAGGAAAGGTCAGCACTGGTTCAAATTTCCGACAAGAATTCTCACGCAGATAAGGAGTGGGCTACGTCCGAGTGATTTAACAATGAAACAAAAAACCCACCTCGGGACAGAACACACCCACAAATAACAGCACAGAGCCATTATGCAGCTGGACTTGGGCTCGCACAAACCAAGCTCCCCCACCTTCAACCTCCCTTGGCTTTATAGTTTTTGATGTTTGTTTCTCACAGTGGGTTTACACACAGAATCAGTCTCACTGCTCCCTGACTGCAGCGACATCATTTCGCCTTCTTTCCAAATTTTGTTTCCTAGCCACTCACTCATCCCTGGTATCGTGCTTAAGTCTGAGCCCAGACTGCGCTGAGCCTCGGTTACCAACATGCACTGAGATCACCGGCTCCCAGCTCCGAAACAGCACCCGGGGCTGCTAAAGTCTCCAGCCCATCTGCTGCTTAAACTCTTAGGCGTGCCCTCATTACCCCTGCACTCAACTATCCCACCGCGCTCTTGCACATTCCACTCTCCAGAAACTCCAGGTCACCCGAAACTCTGACAGCTTCGCACCCCCACCACGACTAAACAAGCAGTTACCACAGCCTGAGCATTTCAGTTTACAGAGCTGCTAAGCCAGGAGAGTTTGGGGTGAAAGTCTTCTGGTTAGTAGAAATGAGACAGTTGCGGCCATCAGAATTGTGGAAGGATCCTGTCAGAGGGCTCACACAGAAGGGAAGTTTAAAACTGCCTCTGCTGAAGGAAAGTTAACTGGGAGGAGTTCACCAATTAACAGCCAACATTCCGGGTGATGTTACTCTGGAATCGAGGATCCATAAAAGGAACACATTGGAGGAACAGTTTAAAGGGGGTTTTTTTTTTGGGGGGGGGGGGGGGTGCGCGTGAGAGAGGGAGCAACAGCGCGCGACATCCAAATCTAAATCTAAAGGTCTTCTCTCAGCGGTACTTGGGTCTTTTTCCCCTTCGTTTTGTAAAGGAAGCTTAGGTTCTATTGTTAAAGGACACCTGTGACCTCATGCAAACAGGTTTCACTGACCAACCACGACATTCAACTATCAAAAATAGATGTATGATTTATCAAGCCAGGTTTCAGTACAGGATCAGGCTTGTTCAGTACAGGATCAATGCAGTGAGAATCCAGTCATGGGTGACTCCCTCCCTGACCTGATGCTGAAGGCAGCACATCGTTGAAAAGTGCAACTCCGTTGTGGACTCTCTTAAGCCATCATCCTCCCAGGGAGCTTCCATCAGTGTCGTTCTTTCCCAACAGATGACTCTTTGTTAAAAGAGGTGTCAGTGATCAAGAACTGCTACTCGAGATTGAATTTCCACAGGCATTAAACTTGTGGCACACGCTCCACCGGTCCCAGGAAAAAAAAAATCCTTGACGTACTGAGTCAGCAGGCACTGGATTAACTCCTGGATCCAGCCACCCTGCACCCCCCTCCCCCCCACCCCCGGACTGCCTGACTGCGAGGGCTTCGCAACTCAGGCCAATCCCCATCGAGTGAGCTTAACGGAGTCGTAGAGATGTACAGCACGGAAACAGATCCTTCGGTCCAACTCGCCCATGCCAACCAAATGTCCTAAATTAATCTAGTCCCATTTGCCCGTTTGGCCCATATCCCCCCGAACCCTTCCTGTTCATATACCCATCCTGATGCCTTTTAAATGTTGTCATTGTACCAGCGCCCACCACCACCTCTGGCAGCTCATTCCATACACACACCACCCTCTCCGGGAAAGAGTTGCCCCTCTGGTCCTTTTTAAATCTTTGCCCTCTCACGTTGACCCTGCGCCCTTCTAGTTTTGGACTCCTCTACCCTGGGGAAAAGACCTTGGCTATTCACACGATCCTTGCCCCTCATGATTTTATAAACCTCTAAAAAGGTCGCCTCTCAGCCTCCGACATTCCAGGGAAAATAGCTCCAGCCTATATTTGTGGGCAGCACGGTGGCACAGTGGTTAGCACTGCTGCCTCACAGTGCCGGGGACCTGGGTTCGATTCCACCCTTGGGCAACTGTCTGTGTGGAGTTTGCACATTCTCCCTCTCTCAGACAGAGGGTTTCCTCCGGGTGCTCCAGTTTCCTCCCACAGTCCAAAGATGTGCAGGCTAGGTGGATTGGTCAAGCTAAATTGCCCAGTGTTCAGGGATTTGTACATTAGGTGGGTTATAGGGGGATAGGTTTGGGTGGGTGCTCCAAGGGTCAGTGTGGACTTGTTGGGCCAAAGGGCCTGTTTCCACACCGGGGGGATTCTGTGACGATCTATGATCTATTCAGCCTCTCCCTATGGCTCGCACACCCAAACCCTGGCAATATCTTTACAAGTCTTTTCTGAACCCTTTCAAGTTCCACAACATCTTTGCTATAGCTGGGAGACTAGAATTGAACGGAGCATTCTAAAAGTGGCCTCACCAATGTTCTGTACAGCCACAACATGACCCTCCCAACTCCTATACTCAATGAACTGACTAATAAAGGCAAGTGTACCTTCATTACCCTGACTACCTGCAACTCCACCTTCAAGGAACTGTGTACTCTAAGGTCTCTTTGTTCGGCAAAACTCACCCAGGACCTTACTATTAAGTGTATAAGTCCTGCCCTAATTTGCCTTGCCAGTATGTGCGTAAGCATGGTCTATCGTCGGATGGTAACAAGGATGCCCAAACTTCTGCCCTACTCTGCTAACCCAGAGATGCCGAACCTGCTTCCTGCAAGCTCACAGCTCAGCACCGGAGTCGATGAGATTGCGAAGCAGGGGCCTCGGAGTTTGCATCACACCAGCTCCATCATGCTGAGCGGAGGAGTCACTGGGGAAGTCTGTGACATAAGCACTTATCTGATCAGATTACTATCACCACTACCAGTTGAAGAGGTGAGGTTTACCTGGTTTTACCACGAGCTCTCCGCACGACTGAACAACATGCACCACATTCACAGCAGGCCTGACGGGCGCGCGCACACACACACAGATACACAGTGATTTAAATCAGTCGTTAACATTAAAGCAACCTCAGAGGTCACATGGGGCACAGATTGGGGTGGAGGGGGCACCGTTGTAACTCGTCAGGGCAAAGGGCCTGGTGATGGCTTCCAAACATCACATCCGCTCCTTAAATCTGCACGTGCAGTGTAATGGTATCTGCTGACTCATCACACTGGTGTGGGGGGGAAAACAGTGATTTTTGGGAACGAATCGCTGTTACAGAGAAAGTGTTAGGCGTTATGTCAAAGCACACATCAGCCTCTTGCTAAACCTGGTGTACGTTTCTGATACTTTATCTGTTACAAGCGGACTCACGGGGCCACATCGAAGGGAACTACACAAATTAAGAGTGCATGGTGTACACTGTAGCATATTAAACCGAGCGGAGGGTTGGTTAGTTGGCAGGAAACAGAGATTAGCCTGAAATGAGTCACTCTCAGGCTGACAAGATGGAATGGGTGGTGTGACACAGGGGACTCATGCTGATGCCTCAGCTACTCTCAATCTTTATTAATTACCTACAAGAATGAACGTGAATTATGGCTGTTTTATCTGCCGATGATACAAAGATAGGGACGAAAGTATATTGCAAAGAGGACATAGTATCTGTAGGGGCACGGAAACAGCTTCTGAGGGTGGGCAGGTGGATTATATCATAGGAAAATGTGAACTTAACCAGAATGAACAGAAAAGCAGTATATTATTTTAAAAAAATCAATGTACAGCAGGGACCTGATGGAGGTGTACTGGATGATGAGGGGCATGGATTGGAAAGCAGCTGTTCTCCTCAGCTGGAGGGTGAATAACAAGGGGTAACATCAAAGGGAGGGGGATCTAGATTGGATCTCTAGAAGAGCTTTCTCACCCAGAGGGTGGCTGGGGCGGGGTGGAGGGGGAGGTGTGGGGAGGAAAACATACTACCTGGGAGGGTTGATGAGGCAGGAAACCTCAACCTTTAAAAGTAACAAACACCGAAATTGCTGGAAAAGCTCAGCAGGTCTGGCAGCATCTGTGAAGCGAAATCAGAGTCAACGCTTCAGACCTGATTCCGAGGAAGGGTCCCCGGATCCAAAACGTTAACTCTGATTTCTCTTCACAGATGCTGCCAGATCTGCTGAGCTTTTCTAGCAATTTCAGTGTTTATTTCTGATTTACAGCATCCGCAGTCCTTTCAGGTTTTATTTAACCTTTAAAATGTACTTGGACGAGCCCATGGAGTATCTCCAAGTCTCTGGGCCTAGTGCAGGACAGTGGGACTACTGTAGCTGGTGGTGTACTTTCAGCAGTACAGCACTGATGGGCTGAAGGGCTTTTACCGTACTGTATTCCTATATGATTGCAGAGCTTGGAGGTACAGATGGATCTGGGCACGTTGACAGGTTCATTACACAACATTTGTAAGCAGACCGTGTTTATGTGTTCGTGGCTTTGTAGGCATCTCTGCCTAGGCCAACATTTCTTGCTTGTCCCCTAT